ACACGCCCGGCAAAATGACTGCCCTGTAACCAGGGTGTAAGGTCTTATACCTCTCACGCTTAAGCTGAGGGAGCCTTTCTGTGTCTGTGGATGAGCGACTCCCCCCGACCCTCACCCCTTGAGAAGGGCTGAACTTCTGTTTCTCTTAGTCACAGTAAATTCCCACAGAATGATTTCTACTTGGCTTTTTAGAGATTTGAAGTGAAATCTTATTTGGGACCTATCCCGGTCAGATGGAACATGGTGTGCCGAAGGGGCGGCTGTAAGGGGGCTCGGGATCGACACTTCTCCGCACAGGCTTAATCCTCCTCTCTGCTTTGGCCCTCTTCATGCCAAGGTCAAAGATGAGCTCCCTCTAACTAGGGTGTGGGTGTTTCCCTGACTTTCAGAAGATAACACTGCCATTTGGAAGGTAGTTCTAGAAACCATCTTCTTGAGAGGGTTCTCCCCAGGAAAAAGGGGAAAAACAAATCAGTCGGCAACGTCTCGTAGGCTCTTCTTTTCGCCTCTCCTGCACAGAGTGGCTCTGCCCTCCACCCTCTTCCCATTACACCTTTAGCATTTCACCCAGAAAGCACCCTTTGTAACGGCACCCAACAGTCACATCAGACTCTGGCCCCTCCCCAGCCTAAATACCACAGAGCTCCGTATCCAACGAGGAAGTACATGGCCTGTGAAGAATACTACAGTGAGTACAGATGAGGAATTTAAAGCACTGACCGCTTACTCACAGCCTTTTAAGCGGAAGGTAGAAAGCTGAGTACTGTTTATTTCTGCTTAGGAGAATGTCCAAGCTGATCAGGTCTACGTTTGCCAGTTTCTCCTCCGGCTGGGACTCCTGGACAATTCCTCTGCAAGTGCAGCTGCAAAAGCCAAGCATGAGCCATCACTACCCAAAGCTGTGTTGGTGCTCGAAATCTTGGTCTCATCCTGGCCTCCCTCTCCCATCCCATCTACATTGGCCCTACTTGATGAACAGAGACCGAGTTAACACCGACAGTCTTCGCTCCACTTTAGAGCCAACTGCCACATGATTTTCATCTGCTCCTACTTCTCCATGGCTCCCGAGACCTAAGCTGTGGGGTTGCACACCTAGCACCCCTGCCTGTGTCCTACGAAGGAAGACAGCACAAGGAAAGGCAAGGACAGACACAGAGAGTTAAAGGGTGTATGTTGGCCAACGTACTAGAGAGAGAGAGAGAAAAAGGTGGGAGGAAGGCAAGCAACTCACCACCGGGAGTCATCCTCCTGGATCTAACCTGCTGCAGAGGACACACCGGTCCTGGCCAGAGAAATGAGCAGCCCCTGGAAATGGGGACCTTGTCTCCCTCAAAACCACAACTAGTCAGGAACCTTTTCTTCCAACCCAGCCCTAGCTAACAGGGTGTCCCTACCAAGAGCAAAATGGGCCATGAGCAGAGCCCTCACCAACCAGACACTTATCTCACTGAAAGTGGCGGCGCTTCCGCTCTCAGATGGACGGCTTTTGTGTCGCATCAACAACACTCGCAGTCTCGTCGCTCTCGCTCCCTTTCCATCGCATGAGGGCAGTA